GTGTATCTGTGTGTGTGTGTGTGTGTGTGTGTGTGTGTGTGTCTGTGTGTCTGTGTGTGTATGCGTGAGTCGCCTGTTGGTCTACTTCGAGGATAAACTATCAGAGCCGCGCACTTTGTGACGATATCGATACAATTAGATTGCCGATTCCATCCATCGGTTACAGTCCTCTTAACAAAATTACTCTTTAAGCCTTCAGCCCCCACCCAAATATATGTGTATTCGTCTTTCTGGAAATGTTAAGCGACTTTCAGACTATTTATAAGCTGAAACTAAAACACAGAGACCAAACAGATAGGCACTACCAAGAAAAAGGAAGGGGGAATGTGTAACAAGCAAATGTACGCAGACGGACAAGTGTCACAATTTCAACTTTTATTATCTTAAATGAGCCAGAAAATGCTGCCCCAACACTGTGAAGGTCGCCCATGCCCTGTAGATATGTTTTCAAACCTGAAACGCCAATTCATTCAATTTTTAGAAAAATTTAATTGATGTATGCTAAGACCAAGCCCAGTAAAACGCAGAGGGTATTTAAAGGGTTTGATGGTGTTGGTTTTGGGTATCAGCCATCTAATTTTATCCACATCGTCAAAAAGTGCACAACTCTGATAGCTTTTCTTTCCTCGAAAGTTCGCAGCTCTGATGTTCTCCCACTTCAACTCGTCCTGAACTCTTTGCACTTCAAGTTCAGCTGGTTGCATCCACGTCGAATGTTTGCTTTGAAGAGTGTTTGTGTCTGTTTTCTGTTGGGAGGAATGGAGGAGGCGAGGGGTGCCAGGGGTGTGTGTGACAGGTAGAAAGAATGCTTGGTGCTGCACATGACGAAGTAAATGGCCGGAGACTTTTGTATAATCCGTCGTACCTCGGCGTTTGTCAATACAAACTGTTTGTGTGTGGACTCGGGTGCGTGATATCGGATAGAGACTAGATGTTACATGAGTACATTACATTCCTAGTGTGGCTTTGCTTTTCTTAAAAAGTCCTAGATCTACTAGGTAAAATAAAATGTAAAGTTGTTCCCGCATGCGATCCGGACATTGGGGATTGCCTTGTTAGTGAAACAACTTCCTGGGCATTCAGCATATTGTGGTAGGGTGGCCAGTTCCTTTTCACGCCGCCTTTACTTCCCCAACTCGAAGTCAGGTACCCATTATGTCCGAACGGAGGCTCGAACCCGGACTAACCGCTTCGCCACTGCACTCTCCGGGTATTATGTAATGCCTCAAAAGAAGTTATTTTTAAGAAACGAGAAAGGGGAGGAGGGTTTCTTTTACAAAGAATTTATTACTGATAGCAATGTGTGATTGTATTATTTCTGATGTCTATAGCTGCTCGTGAAAAGAAAAACGGCAAGGATATAAAGAAAATGGGTGTGATAACATACTTTGCACACACTTTCGGACTAAGGAATAAGCTAGTTTCTTAGTTTTTTTAAAAAAGAAAAGAAAAACGGATGGAGAAACTCAACAAAGTGACGACCTCATGCATATTTCGTCTCCATCTGAACCTGTTGGTCTTAGTGGAACACGCCAGGGAAAATGTGACTTTTGTCTGAGAGATAATGGCCTGACGTCATGAATGAGGTCAAGGTCAACTCTTCTTTGTTCGCCCTTCGTTGTATCACCTGCTGTGTGGATTTCTTACCCTTGGATATGATATGATATGATATGATATGAGATGATGTGATGCGATGTGATATGATGTGATATGAGATGAGATCTACGCTGTGATCGTTGAGCTTTGTCGTGCCCAGTCAGTGAGGAATGCCTTCACTGAGTTCTCCGGTCACCGAGTGAGAAATCCATACCCTTCAAAAGTGGGCGGGTCTTTCAGCAACGTCACCATTGGCTGCTGCGAAGGGCGTGTCGCTGCCGACATGGGGTGCACGCCCAGCATCCACGTGAGCCAGACAGGCGTCATGTACTGCCGGGAGTCCGAGGAGTCCAACTCGCCCCGCCCCTCCACGCTAGTCCCCGCCTACAACGCCAGTCACACCACCGTGGCAGCTGCCTCGTCTTCCTGCGGCGCGATGGTCGTGAGTCACAGCGAGGCCAAACTAGGTCGGGGGGCGGAGACTACGGTGGTGGGGGGAGGGGCTGCTGCTGCTGGCGCCTCCTCCTCCTCCCTGACGTCATCGGTGGGCGGGGCTTCCTCGTCTCGCAACTCCCACAAGAAGAAGTCCGCGTCGTGGGGCGGGGACAAGGGTGGTGGTGGGGAGAAGGAGAAGGTGAGGAGTAGCGGGGACGTGCAGGGAGCGCTCACCACGGGCTCCACGGAGGCAGAGACACAGACCAGTCGGCAGAGCATGAAGGTAAATGTG